AGGGCAAGGTATAACTTTGTTATTGTCTTTATATGGAAATTAAATTCACAAGGGTTGACTGTGAAGGTCAACTTTGTCAACATGGTGAGACTACAATAGGTGTTGCTATAAAGAAGGTATTTTGCAGATGTGGTTGAAATCTATAATTGGTTAACTTTAAGTAAGAGCAGATCATCCTTCAGGGGTGGGCAAACTTTTTGACTCGAGGGCCACAATGGGTTCTTAAACTGGACCGGAGGGCCGGAACAAAAGCATGGATGGAGTGTTTGTGTGAACTAATATAAATTCAAAGTAAACATCTACCCTAATAAAAGAGAAACTTGATAATTGGCGTACGACCGCTACCCTTTTCATTGGCTAATCAGCGAGATATGCAAATTAACTGTCAGCCAAGATGGCGGCCGGCAGCCAGACAGCTTGAAAATAACATGAGGCTTGCTTGCCTCAGTGACGGAGGAAACCAACGTTCCCAGCCTGCCGCTCCAGGCCTCTGAGCCTGCAGTTTGAAACATTTTAACAAATACCACTGGACTTCAGCCAGCAGATTCGCAACATTGTAAGCAAAGGCCAGAAACCTACTTTCAGCCGCAGAGGCCTAAGAGCTGGAGCCAAGCCTCAAAGCTAAAGCTGGCCCAGAAGAAAAAAAAAATAAAGAAAAAAAGGAGCAATTGGGAGCTTCGGTCACCCCCAGCCTGAAAACAGCCCTCAGCCCCTCACCCAGACTGCCCAGGCACCCCAGTGCGGACCCCTACCCTGAAGGGTGTGTGACCAGCTGCAAACAGCCATCATCCCCTCACCCAGGTGGCCAGGCACCCCAGTGGGGACCCCCACCCTGATCCAGGACACCCTTCAGGGCAAACCAGCCGGCCCTGCCCGTGCACCAGGCCTCTACCCTATATAGTAAAAGGGTAATATGCCTCCCGGCACTGGGATCAGCAGAGCCATGAGGCCTCCCGGCACCAGGATCAGCGTGACAGGGGGCAGCGCCCACACCCCCTGATCGCCCTGCGGCTCTGTGTGTGACAGGGGGCAGTGCCCCAACCCCCTGATCAGCCCTGCTCTGTGGGTGATAGAGGGCGGTGCCCCAACCCCCTGATGGGCCCTGCTCTGTGTGTGAGCACCAACTATGTAAAAAATTTAAAAGTTTAAGTTAACTTTGAACCTAAGTTTCACACAACATGAACCAAATGATCTGTAAAGTGTAAAACTTCAGGACCTGAATGAAGATTAGTCTTTAGGAGGCATTCTAACACTCACATTTTAAGTTAATAAAGATTTTGATTCAGACTACTTACAAAGGCTATTTATAATGCATGATATTAAACTTTACTTACTTAACACCGTATCTGTCTCTAAACATAATATGGTCCCTAAATGTGCGGTTGACATCAAGGTCTATTTGTCTGATATCAGGTGAACAACCACGTGCTCTGAGTTTTAATTTCTGAAGAGGAAAAAAAGGGGGGATAAAAGCACATTTTAATGAAAATCAGCTTTTGAAAAGTCTATGACAAATATTAAATAATTTTCATTTTAGAAGTTCTTTTGGTTTAGGAAAATCATTCCCATTGTTCAAACACGAAAAAATATAAAAAGGTACACAATGAAAAGTTTCTCTCCCATTCATGCCCCATCTCTACTACTCCCATTTCCTCTTTTCCCATCCCCTTTTTCCCTCCTGTCCTATCAATAGAGGTAGAAACTAATTTTGGATAGAAAACTTTTTGGAGCTTGCATTGGTATGTAAAAGCTCTTCATAGCTACGCCATGTAGTCCACTATAATTTATTTTTTCTTTCCAACACAATATTCTTGTTTTTCTTGGAGCTGATCATTGCATTATTTTTTGATTTGCTTGTCTTCTACACAGCTGTCACTAACTCAATCCCAAACTCACTTTAAGTTGCATAAATCTCTTTTGGTGATCTCAAATAGAAGGGGTATTTTCTCAATTTCAACTGTTTGCACACATCGCTCCCAGAGCCTTCTGACCTGCTCTAGTTGGGGCTTCTGCACTATCCTTGGGGTCTCCCTGTACCATCTGCTAGGCATCTCTTTGCTTGGGTCCCGTTTCCTGCATTTCACATCTTCTTTCCTGGTTTATTTCCTTGTTCCGGAGGACCACATCCTCCAGTAGCTCCTGTGAAAGGTGTATTTTTTGAAACTTTGAATGCCTGATAGCTACCTCCTTTCTTATTTGGCCATTTTGAATTTTAAATTGGAAAAATGTTTTTGCTCAAAAAGCATTGCCTTCATTGTCTTCTATCTTCAGTGTTTCCATTCTAATTCACGCTTCTTTATATGAAGTCTATTTTTTCTCTCTAGAAGCTTATAGGAGTTTCTCTCTCCAGGTCTGAAACTTCACATTTTTGTGCTTGGTTTGGATCTATTTTTAGCCACAGGATTGGGCATTTGATGGATCTTTTCAATCTTAAAAACTCATACATCTCTCAGTTCTGAACAATTTTCTTCAATAATTCCTTCGTTGATTTCCCCAGCCTCTCCTCCCACGACCCCATTTTCTCTTTCTGGAACTCTTATTATTACAGTGTTGGATCTCCTGGGCTGTCATTTAATTTTCTTATATTTTCTCTATTATTTTCCATCTCTTTGACTTCATAATCTACTTTCTGGGAAATTTCTTCAATTGTTATTTTCAACCTTTCTCTAGAAACTTTCATTTCTATTATCATTTTTATAATCCTAAACTCTTTGCTGTTCTCAAATATTCCTTTTAAGAGCATTCTCTACTTGTTTTATGGATGCAATATCTATTTTTATCCTTCTGAAGATATTGATAGTTTTTTTGTTTTCTTCTAGTCTGTTTCTTATAAGTTCCTTTATTCCCATTTTTCCTCATTTCTCTTTCATATTAGCTCCTTTCCTCAAATGAACAGAGATATTTCGTTGTCTCTTATATTTAAAAGTAGGAGACTAACAACTGGTGGAAAGCTCTGTATGCAGAGGTGGGGATTCACAACTGTCGTCAGTGGTTGGGGAGTTTCACTGGGGTTCCCCTAAGTCAGTATCTTTGGGTTCATTTTCGTAGGGTGGTCAGATTCCCCAGAGAAGGCACTTCTGATCTGCCAAAAAGACAAGCACCCAGCAGTCGATGTTCTGGGAGCTGAGTGGAAGGAAAGGCTGCAATGCCCCAAATTCAGGATATTCAATTCCTCTGTGCTTGCACCACAGCAGCTCACCCTCAGCAATGCCTGTGTTCTCCAGCCCAGGGGCCCTCTGTTTTACCCTCTCCAAATGGTGAACCTCCAATCTCCTGCTTGGGTTGGGGAAAGAGACTTAAGGGTTCTAACTGCTTCTGCAACAGACTGTTAACCACTTCTACTATGTTTAGCTTCACTTCCACTTCCAGAGGTACCTGGAATTAAGCAATTATCAAAACTTTTGGAGATTCTGAAATATAAATCAAGTGCTTCTCCAATTTCTCACTACTAGTCTATGATTAGTTTTCTCAGGTTTGCTAAGACTACAAAGTATCTGTCTGAATTCTGGCTTTCAAAAATTGGAACCTGTTATCTCTCCTCCTATTTTTTCTTCCTTGTGGGTTTGCTTTCTAAAACACTCTCTGCTGTCAATTTAGTGGAATTTCTTCCACATTTAATCAGATAGGAGATTAAAATTTGTATTATTTATACTTACCCATGTTTAAGTCTCATTAAGCCATCTATACTAATAAAAGAGAAAAATGGTAATTGGCGTACGACGCTACCCTTCTCATTGGCTAATCAGGGCGATATGCAAATTAACTGCCAACTAAATGGCAGTTAACTGCCAACAAAGATGGCGGTCAATTTGCATATGTAGGCACAATGCAGGGAGGTGAAAGGGAAAGCAGGAAGAAGCCC